AAAGAAAATGAAATTATTGCTTATAGTTTCAGAGGCTGGGAAGTCCAAAGTCCAGGGAACATATCTGGTGAGGGTCTTGGTGGTGGCAACAGTGACCCAGGGGTCTCACATGGCAGAAAATGGCAGAGCAGAGAAAGAGACTAACCTCTTCATTCACTCTCCTTTTAAAACCCTCAGAACCACTCCCCTGACCACCATTTTTAATCCAATCACTATGGCATGGTCCTACAATCTAATCACCTCATGAAGGCCCCACCTTTCAATTGCCAAGATAGAATTTCCCACCCTCTTAACACTGTCACAGTGGGGGTCAAGTTTTGGGGGGACACTCAATCTAAGGCAGATAGATACATACTCTGTTAACAGGTGAGACCTGGGAAGTCCAAATACATAAAGTGAAAACGTAGAATTGAACAAACTTTTATTGAGTACTCACTAGATGTCAGGCACTGGGAAGGGGACTAAGTTACAAGTATAATCAAACTCAGTCCCTTCTCTCAGGGAGACAGGCGCAGTCTGTATGGTATCTTGTGATCCTACTATAACAAAGATAAGAGACAAGCACATGTTGTTATGGAAACAAGAAGATCAATGCTGTGGAGTCAGCAATTGTGGAAGATTTTTCTAAGCTGAAATCTGAATGAGTAGAATTAGCCTAGCCAAAGACCACTCAGAAGGAGTAGCATATGCCGAGATTCAGGGATGGGCGAGAGTCTTTAGACTCTGTTACTTACTGTACAACCTTGGGAAAATTAGATGCTCTGTGCTTAAGTTTCCTCTTCTGTAAAATGGAGATAATAATAATTTGTATTACATAGGGTTGTTATGAGAATTCACTGAAATAAAATATATAAAAAGTTTTAAAAGTGCCTGATGTTAAGTATTAGCCTTCGTTGTTGTTGCTATCCTTTTCTACAGAAAGAAGGTAACAATAACACTTCCTAATGTTGCCATGCAGATGAAGTGAAATAAACATGTAAGGCCCTGGCATATAGTGATTGCTCCATAAAAAGTTATTGTTAGCACTGTAACTTACATTGATAATATTTACACATGACATCTGTACAGACTATCCTGAGAACAATAGAGAGCTAATGAAGGTTTAATGGCAGGAGAAAAGCATGATCAGATTCAGTTTAAGAAAGAAAACTTTGCCTCAGATGCAGCAGATAGGAAAGGACAAGCAAGACCTTGTAGCAGTAGATCAGTTAGGAGGCTATTTCAGGAATGAGGAATAAGAAATAATGTGAGGAATGTAAAGAATGAGAAATAATATTTGAGAAATGAGAAATCACAGTGATCTGAATTAAGATAGTGGCAATGGGGATGAACAGAAGGTTAAGGAGGTAGCATTGACAGGAGCTGGCTGTTGACTAGCTATGGGACTTAAGGTGGAAGTAATGGTGAAGAATGACTCCAGGGTTCTGGCTTGGACAACTTGGTAGATAGTGGTGCTATTTTCTGAGACTGGGAAGACAGCAGGAGAAGTCATTTGGCTGGGAAAGTAAGGAAAGTACAGAAGATGATAAATTTGGTTTTGCACAGGTTGAATTCGAATTGCCATGAGACATCCAAATGGAGACGTCTTGTGAGAACTTGGATAGAAGTTTCTGGAAGAGATCTGGACTGGAGATATAGATCTGCGGATAGACAATGTGGAAGTGGTATTCCTGTGTGGGGACAAGATGGTCCACAGAGAATGGATCAAGCGAGAAAAAAATTTTAAAATGTTGTTGAGCTGGATGGGCTCAGCATAAAGAAAGAAAACCGTTCTGAGAAACTCTGGGCGTGCATATTTCTCCTGCTTCTTAGTGGCATCATTAACAAAAAGTATAGAAAAATGGTACAATGATACAATGTATTTTCTAATACAGATAGAAAAATGGTACAATGCTTTGGATTCATACATGAAAGCATAGCACGTAGAGAATCTAGATGAGACCTGACAGTGGATTTTATCAAGAAGTCAAAACTGATAAGACCCACCATCTACATACGGAATGGAGTAACACAACATGCTGGAAAACAGGACAAATGAACTCAGAGAAAAGAAATAAGAAGTGCACGCTGATGGCTATCACTGGAATGCATAGGTCTTATCTAACCTG